ACTATGAAGTGAGTTAAGAAATTATCCATATAAGCTAAGATTTCCATGCTCCTTCATTTTGCTAATTATCGACTGAAATGGAGGATGATCTTCAATTGTGCATGGCATTTTATCGGGTACAGATCTAGAAATTAACACAGACGCGTTCAGGTTCCTTGAGATATGTGTTACTGTACTGAATAGAATTGAATTCTCTGGTGAAATTGCTTGCTCGTTTTTGATGTCGATTTATTTCCTGTTTATGACAGAAAAACTGGTATGTAATTTGCCTCTGTCAGGTACGGTTTAACACAGTATAATAATTGTTTGTTTAGTTTCTATGATGATATATTAATGTGGACAAATCTGGTCTTGTAGGAGTCATTCGTTATTTGATTTATTAGCGTTGTTATTTATGGGTTCAGCTGTAAGTACCTTCGAAAGTACTTTGCATATAAACAAAAGCAAAAGAACTTACGCTATAGATTTGCGCCATGAACAGCCATGGGGAGCCACGATTTACCTATACCTGTAAGTTTGTTAAAACGTATGGTTTCCACTTCCACTGGCATTCGTAAAAGAGTAGATACAAGTGACCAAGCGTCGGCGTATCACCTTCATAGTTAAGAATGATATGATGCTTTGGTATGTTACGGACGGAAGGGTAATGCATAAAACATTGTTATTAACATGAGTATCTGACGTTTTAAACCGGCTCGGTCTGTACAATATGATTTGTGTTGTGCATGGATAGGATAGTAAAGCGCGATCAGAATGACTAGGGAATTTAGAGAGGTGTAGATTGCTGTTTGCAGACCACCTTATGTTGTTGTCTTTTTCTGAAACGCTCTGGTGAGGTTCACAGCCGAGTGCGACGTGACCGGCATACGTGTGAACGCACTAAAACGAAAAGCCTAGTGTTCTCTTCAGATTAACAGAGAGGCAATGGAGCAGATGGAGAAGTTCAAGCCCATCGGAGTCGTGTTCATAGAGAAGGAAAGTTTGAGTCGATGATGAATAGATACGTACATGCATCATATATACGTAAATAGACACCTATTTACCAACCTACATGCGTACACAGATACGATTCTACAAAATCAGTGGTGTTTGAGTATGTTGCTGTGGAATGTTTTACGATGTTCTCGTTTTATCTCAATGCCGTACAGCTTGTGAAGCTATCGACTTATTAAACTGAGCAGTAGGCCTCTGTAAGCAAGTGTAAAATGACGTTAACATGATGTCGTTTCAGATAAGTCACTGATATATGCTAATGTAACTGGATGTATCGAACCCTAAATAACCAGAATATGGTTATTTTTATGATTAGTTAGCGTTTTTTGGAAGTTTGTGCCAGTATTTCGTTTTTCCTTGTGGTGTTAGATTCGCTTTATACAATGCACATTTTTTTTCGATCATTTTGCATCGTTCATCGTCGAAATTGCAGATAGTGTGCAACTGCTGAGTAATGGAAAAACCTACAAGTACCAGAAAATCAGTTGATGACTCAGACGATCTTGCAGCTATTCGAAAAAGTATTATGGAGTTTAATCAAAGGAAGCTTGAACTGGAGGTTCAGAAAAATTGGGATCGATTTTACAAGCGTAACAAAACCGCGTTCTTCAAGGACCGACACTGGACCAAGCGGGAGTTTGTGCAGATATGTCCTGATATCTCTTGGGAGGTAATGCATAGATATTTATTAGTTTGCGTTTTGATGCTCAGTATTTTCAGATTTATCGACATGTTTGTAAGTGGTAGCAATTGATAGTTATCAGCAGTGCTTTATCTCTTTTCTCGTATACCAAGAAAATCATTGCGACAAGCAGGTGCAAAATTAAAGCTCATATACTGTCATTGTTAAAGGTGACAGTTTGTTGCTCCAACTGTCCTAACGTTGACTATCCACGAGCAATGATGAGTTTTCTAAGTGTCTGCTGGATCAGTTTGGTCTCATGAGTGTCACTGCATTCTGAGTAAGCAAAGATGGATCCACCAATCAGTCTGTAGTTGATAGTTATTTCCTCAAATGTATGGTCATTTATTAAACTGATAATTCGCGGAAAACATTGAAATTTCTGTCTACAAACGTTCGCTTCATCGTAGAAATGAATTTCTGGCGTTGTCCTCATGTTAATCGCTGTTTCACATAGAGTTGATATCGTTACAGTATCATATGTGGTTCTCCACAGCCCGCATGTGTGATTAACTAAATAATTTATTGTTGTCTATGGCTGTTAGCCTAACTATAGAAGTTTCAGTAAATTGCATTTCATAAATAGTCTAGGGCCTTGTTCAACTCCCATTATCGATCCAGCAATTGTTATTTAACCTGCAAGTAAGGTGGGATCTCATTTTTTGTTATGCTACTGTTTGGTATTGCACATGCTTTAAACCGCTGCAAACTATTTCGATAAATCATAATGATAAAATTTCTTTCTTAAGGACCACTGATCAGTTTTGACGACCGCTTATCTTTTCGGATGGCGGAGGCAGACGCGCCAGACGGTATCTCCAACATACCTGATCTCGTGTCAGGGTCTGAGCTTTGGCAGTAGATGAACCAGAGTCATTCTTGGCCGTCCTCAAGGTCTTCGACCGATTGGCTGAGTAAGTAATAGTTGTTTCGCCTTCTTTTCTAGAGGCATTCAAAAAAAAACCATCGAAATGCTTAAAAATTTCTTATTCATGACAGTGCCGCATCTTATCCTTACTGTCCAAATTGTGATATTATATCCTCGCATTCGTATCATAACTCATCGAGTCAACGGCTTTCGTGACATATTATCGTTACCATGTTTAGCGTTGTGGAGACATTTATCCAGGC